TTTCCATTTCACACAGCCCTATTTATTCAAATGGCGAAAAAAGATAAAGAAAGAATCCAAGATAACGTTTTATCCAAGGGGGTGAGGGCTGCACCTCTGCATCGTAGTTTTCTATGCGGTGCTGAAATCGTGAGACGGGTACTGTAGGTGCTGGGAAGGTACGCTGGGTACTGCAAGTGCTGGAAAGCTGCAATAGGTGCTAGAGGCTCTGAAAAGTGTGATGGGTGCTGCCGATGCGGGAAACGTGCAATGAGATATTTGTAATTTCTGCTAACACCACTAACACCAAACGTTTCAAAAAGTGCTTGCATGTGGATAGATGACAATTGACAAAAAAATTAAAGAAGATATTGAAGCAGTAAGCGACATCCATAATGTAGAGCCTAACATAGGCGCTGCATTATTGTGTTGAGCACTATTTTTTGCTGTTTTATAACATGATAATTTGTCATGTACTTCTGTGGTTTTGCTTATGTTATGGTCGTTTCACTTTTCGGGGTATTTTCAAAACAAAATCTTCTTGAGAAATGGATTCCATCGTATGCACAAGAAAAGTAAAGAATAAGCAGAAAGAATGAAGCACTGTAAACAGGAAATCTTTCTGGTCGTAGAAAAGCGAGAAAGGAAAAAGCGCTCCTGCATACGAGAGCGTTTTTCAGTATCTAAAAATCAAGATGGTCGAAAAGTACGAGAATCTAAGTCTTTTCGAGAATAAGTCTTCGTTTCAGTTTTTCCACATGCGCGCAACTTTTGTGATTTGTTTCAAAGGAAAATGTCGCTAAAGCACTTCGAAATTTACCGTTTATGGCGAAGAAAATCAAAGAGCTTTTGCGTAAGCAACGTTTCTTTCAAAAGTGAGAACATGACAAACTAAAGGTGGTTTTCTTCCATTTTATCTATTAGTTTATGTCTTTGAGACTTTGAGAAACAGAGTCGAGGGGAAGTTTGGTGAAGCGATCCGCTTCTTTCTTTTTCTTTTTAAAGCATAACTGTAAAATTAAGACAAAGGCGCATCTAATAGCGTTTATTAAACGCTGTTTTATGGTCCTTAGCTTTTATGGTTTTATGGTTCTAGCTTTGGTTGAAAACATCGAAAAAGAAAACAGAAATCTGGTGAAAATGCGCAAAACGTGTAAATAATAATAATCTAGAAGCAAATACGTAAATCTGAAACGAAAACTGAAACGCTAATTAGAAAATAGTTCTACTAACGAACGCATTCCAATCACTGTCTGTTGAGGCAAGAGAACGCTGGGCTGGACAGATTTTTAAGTTACTAAGGCTAGAATCTGCAGCTATGCTTTCCTTCGATTCCTACCCAAAAGATCATTTTCTTCTTCCGACTCAGTGCACCACGGAAGTTCGACTCAACAAGACTTCACAAAAAAAAATTTAAAGAGAGCATCTAAAAAATTAGGAGAATGGGAGGTAGAGCGAACTCATAGTGAGAAGTGTAGAAGCAAGGATAACAAGTCTGCGAATCGCATAGCTGAGCTGCTTACAAAAGTTGTGTGATAAAAAGTTTGCATAAACTATTCAGCAAGAACAACGAGTTTTTTTTAATGTCTTTTCTTCGTGTTTCTACGATTTACTCGGTCAAACTTCTCAAGTATCTCTCGTGTCCTTATATGCAGAAACTAAAAAGGTATCTAGATTTCACCAATGAGACTTTTCTCTCTTAGCTGCACACCTTTGTGTATATATTAGTGTTATCTGTTACCTGGGCCATAGTATTCGTTTGAAGATGCGTCTTGTAGTGTTTGTCATCTTTCTGACAGTGGAATGTTGGTGTGATGTGCGAGTGTCGGTAGATCGAGTATCAGGAGAATACAATATAAGCGTTGCCAATCGTATTTGGCTTCGCTCATCTCACACAGCTTTGTATGCCGGCGAACGATGGTATTCATCTGAAGATGGTTCTCTTCCCCTCATCGATACACGTCTCGATCAAGGCAACGATGAGAACTTAGGTGAATGGAATGAGACTCAATTGATCTATCGTCTTATCTTCAGTGGAACAGAGACCAATGTAACTGGTCGAGTGCGTCAATGGAGTTCAGTTGCAGCAATTACTTTTCATTTGGACATCGGTAATGAACCTCTGACGAGCAGTGATTCTCTCAGTATGGACGAAGTTCGAACAGTATTTCCTTCGTTCAGTATTGAACAGATAGATATGAATGATCATCGAGGCTATTTCACATATGCAGGTGAGATTGATTTTCGTTAATTCTACCAGTAACGATTGAATATCTCTCTTCAGATATGATGATGGGCGACATAGACAAGCATTCCGGTACCTGGGATTCCTCCAGTAAGATCATTCACTCGGGTATCAAAGCAGGTCCTATCGTTCTTTTCAATTTGACCGAAAAAGCGCAAGGCGATGTTGTCATTCTCTCACCTTTTTCTCGTTTTATGGCTACTTCACTGAGTCAACGAACGAATGTGTTGGAGTACGGTGTGATGGGTTCCATGTTATCAATACCTGCCAATTATAATCATTCCATGATTGTCTTCTATTCACATCACGGTGTCAATGAAGCAATGCGTGAATGGGGTCAATCGATGCGACGAGCATATAACCGCACTATTGAACATCGTCTGAATGATGTTACCATCAATTATTTGGGTTATTACACAGACAATGGTGGGTACTATTATTATCATACAGAAACGGAACTAAACTACGAAGAGACAATGATCGCTGTTTCGCAAAACATCCGACTGCCGTTTCACTACATGCAACTTGATTCGTGGTGGTATTACAAAGGAATTGGAGATGGAGTGCGCGAATGGACATCTCGACCTGATGTCTTTCCTGACGGTCTTCCTGCAGTGCGTCGTCGCTTGGAAAATATTCCTCTAGCAGCACACAATCGTTACTGGGCAGCAGACACTACCTATTCGAAGAATTACAATTTTGTGATTGATACAGCTAATGATAAAGCTCTTCCAGTGGGCAACGATTCATTTTGGCTCGATCTATTAGGTGAAGCATCACGAGATTGGGGTTTGATCTTGTACGAACAGGATTGGTTGAATGTACAAACGATTGACTTTATGCCGACACGTACTGATATTCATCTAGGACATCAATGGTTGACGTCGATGGGCAAAGCAGCTGATCAAGTAGGGATGAACATTCAATATTGCATGAGTCTCTCTCGACATGCTTTGCAAGCTCTGGAAATTCCACGTGTCACGCAAGCACGTGTGTCCGATGATTATGCTGTTCACCTTTGTCAACAACGCTCGCAATGGAATATCGGAATATCGAGTATGTTGGCCGACGCGATCGGTTTAGCTCCTTACAAAGATGTGTTCTGGTCGAGTTCAAACGAGCCTGGTGCTCCGTACAAAGGACCCACGATGGAACCTGTTCCCGATCGAGAAATACTCATCGCCACTCTCTCAACAGGGCCCGTCACTCCGGGTGATGGAATCAATTACACCGACGCCAAACGGATCAGGCGATGCTGTAACGAAAATGGGCTTATCTTGAAACCTGACCGACCGATAACTCTGATCGATGCACTCTTTGCCGACTGGGCCCAAAATCAAGGAGTCACGCAAGGAGAACTTTATTCTACCCGATCAGCTCTGTAAGTTTCTCTCTCTCATCCTTTTTAGTCTGAACTTGTCTTGTTTAGAAATAATGAAACATTCCACATAATCTTTGCATCAGCCATGCGACGCGACTATGTAGTGTTTCCTTCGATGATCGGGGCACAAGCAGGACTCATCTGGTCCTATGATGATCCGTCGACAGTAACGATTTTCAATGATACTCATCCTCTTGGTATTTCGGCGAACAAATGTAATGATTCGTCATTCTGCCTTTGGTATTTGTCACCTGTGTGGACTTTTGGCGATTCGAGTAACACACAATATGCCCTTCTGGGCGAATTGGACAAATGGACAGCAGTCAGTCGACAACGCTTCGCATGGATGGGGTTCAATACACAAAGAACGGAGGCGACATTCACTCTTATAGGTGGAACTACTGAAAAGTTTCAATTGGCTGTGTATCACTCGAAATTGGGCATCGTTCGTGTGAATTGCTCTCTCTCGTGCGCTGAAGGGATCCTGACAATTACTCCATCAGCTGTCACTTGTAGGTCATAAATTTCACCAAAGTTGCCGGAATCTTTTTTTATGCATACTTAAAATAAAAGCACGAGTAACCCAGGAAGTCGAAAAGTACCATAAATGCCCGTTAACTGCATTCATTTTAGTGCGTTTGCCATTTAAATGCATTTATTGAGAAATAAATAATGGAAATGCTTGTTTTAGTGGAAATAATTCAACATATAAATCCATAATAGAAGTTAGTTTAGTGTCATTCAGCATTCATTTGAGTAAGGGTATTTCAATCGATAGAACATTTCAATCAATACCAAGCAAAGTGGCGAATTTATTCAAAGAATTTTCATTCAGAAAATTGCTGGATTCGGGACAAACTGCTGAAACACGGTTTAATAGTTCAACATTACTGCTGGAAAATCTGTCTTCCATTTCAATCAAAATACTATCTACTAGAGGATAGTAAAGTTCAGTTCGATATTTTACTTCACTGTCAACCGTTTCACGATGTCCAATTTTAGAAGTAATGATTACATCTTGAAATCTCTTCGGTACGGTGCGAGTTCGGCGTTCTTTAACATTTGATTCAATTGAAATATTATTAACTTTTGCAAATTTTTGCAGTTAGATGGAGAGGAGCAATCATTGTTGATCAACACAAAACAAACCCGCCCGAAAAAGCTTTTGTTTTGATGCAGTTATGGGACTTTTACTGAAAACACAAATATACCCAAAAATTAAAAATTTAATAAAAAAATGCATGACAACAGACAGAAAAACTATTATTTCGCCGTGGTTTTTGACATGAAAAAATTTGATGCGTAGCCAAAAGATAAAGCTAAGTCAGGACTATAAAATGGCTAAGTCAGTTTTTCTTATTTTCAGATATATATAAATATTGATTCACAATCATCACCAAGTAATCCTTCATAGAAAATTGTAAAGCAGTATTTCGATCAATACTAGTTGATAAAAATAAAGTCGATGGAGCTCGACGAACTGATCAAGAATATCTACATTTTAGCTTAAAAAAGTTTTAAAAAAAGCAATATTTCGATCAGTATATGAGAATGATGCTTGATCGAGGTTGAAGTCAAAAATCAAAAATCGGGAAATATCAATTAGTAGTGGAATAGTAGACTTTTAAACAAAGTATATCTTAAAAGCCAGTGTTAGAGCATTCTGCTTCTCTCATTTCTATCTAGTCAATTCATTGTTTTTGTACTCGACGAGGTGATCAAGAATATCTGCATTTTAGCTTACCAAAATTGGTTCTGAAAAATCTTCAAAATACTAGAAGGATCGAAAATTTCGAAAAACGTTTTGGTTTCAAAAATATTCAAATTATTTTCCGTTTTATTCTTCTAACCTTCCGAAAGTATCGTTTTCGGGTCCAACATTAAAAGCTGAGTATGAGAATGATGCTTGATCGAGGTTGAAGTCAAAAAGCAAAAGCAACATAGTATATTAAAGAGAGGAAAAAACGGAAACAGGTAAGGTTAATAATGGTAGTTTATTGAACAACTGGAGCGACAAGTCGCTTACTGTTTTCTTCTTTTATTCTAGGACCAGTTCGTGCATCAGCCCATTTGCGTACTTCTGTTCGATGGGATTATGAGCCCGATATCTACAAAGATTACAAAGAAGCCGGTTAGCATCTATTTATAATTGTTTTATCTGAAAAACAATTGTGGAACAATTGAGGCAACAATAAGCGCATTGAGCAAACAGAATAAGGAAAATTTCTCAAAGCTGCAAACTTGTTTCTTCATTTTCCTTCTTCTGATTTTCGCAGAAACCTCTGGTTGAAGGAAAATGTAGAATTCTTTACATTGTCCGAAACGTAGGAAATCTACCATGGCCGGAAATTTGTTGAATATGGCACATCGTGTGGTAGATATGGAATTTCAAAATTATTTATTCATAGGAGAACCACTGGCTTCAAGTTTTTACCGAGAAAGTGCTCAAAACCTCTATTACCTTTAGCTCCGAAATTATTCATAAAACATTTTGATGCGGTTAGTAGAAATGGGTTAATAGCGCACTTTAAATCTTCTTGAAATCTTTCTTTAGATAGGAAAACACATGCAGATACTTCAAGTCCAATCTCAGGTTCGCTTTTTTTCTTTCTTCTCCACAATGTTGTCAGGTTCATCTATAATGAATTCTAATTCGGAATTCATTTAAATTCATTTGCATTTATTCGGAAATAGAAATTAATTTCAAGAGTTACACAACCAAAATACGCATTTAGTTCTCGTCTGAAAGGTGTTCATTGAATTGTGAGCAACCCGTTGGCTTCCTTCAAAGAGGTTGGTCCGTCTGTCGTGAGATTTTATTGAGTCAAGGTTCATGCTTGGAATTTTTGTATGGTAGAAAATATTTAATGTTGCTCCTATATTTCGATACTTGAAATTTTTAAAGCATTGAGTTTTTGAAAGAAACCGAAGATTCGTAGGAAAGTCTTTTTTTGAAACAATTTATAAACAATTCAATTCGG